TTATAGCATATAATTAAAGATGGGTTTCCTTATATTTTAGTGTCAAATTAAGCAAACTATTAGATTAATTGGTGTTTCTAATGAATTATCATGTATTCTTAATCATATCATTATGTTCTTATTGCATATAATTAAAGATGGGTTTCCTTATTTTTTAGTGTCAAATTAAGCAAACTATTTGATTAATTGGTGTTTCTAATGAATTATCATGTATTCTTAATCATATCATTATGTTCTTATTGCATATAATTAAAGATGGGTTTCCTTATTTTTTTAGTGTCAAATTAAGCAAACTATTTGATTAATTGGTGTTTCTAATGAATTATCATGTATTCTTAATCATATCATTATGTTCTTATAGCATATAATTAAAGATGGGTTTCCTTATATCTTAGTGTCAAATTAAGCAAACTATTTAATTAATTGATGTTTCTAATGAATTATCATGTATTCTTAATCATATCATTATGTTCTAATTGCATATAATTAAGAGTTTTATCCAATCATAAATGTCCATGTATGTACAGTCTGGATAAACTAAAAAGACTTTTTGACCTTTCTTGATCGGTCACTCATTGGAATTCTGCGGTAATTCTCTTCTAATTTAATAAATTATGAATTAATTATGGACATGTGAGACAAACTGGTATTTTTCCAAGTCATTAGAATAACTCTACTTTCTATTCATATAAGTATTAGCATTTTCATTTATGTAAATAAGGGAACCCATCTTTAAACTGGTTTTAATATTACATCAAACAAACTGTGGCTGAATATAAAACTGTTTTTTTTAGACTTGTTAATATGTATTAGAGACATTTATATCTTTTGTTGTGTTCAGTACAAAAAATTAATTTCCTGTTTGTCCCAAATTCTGAATTTACTGAAAAATGATAATACAATGGATTTTTGTTTGTTTGTTTGTTTGTCCCCATGTCTCCCTCATGGGTTGAATGTTAGACAGGACCATGTCTCCCTCATGGGTTGAATGTTAGACAGGACCATGCATGTCTCCTCATGGGTTGAATGTTAGACAGGACCATGTCTCCCTCATGGGTTAAATGTTAGACAGGACCATGCATGTCTCCCTCATGGGTTGAATGTTAGACAGGTCCATGTCTCCCTCATGGGTTGAATGTTAGACAGGACCATGTCTCCTTCATAGGTTGAATGTTAGACAGGACCATGTCTCCCTCATGGGATGAATGTTAGACAGGACCATGTCTCCCTCATGGGCTGAATATTAGACAGGACTATGTCTCCCTCATGGGTTGAATGTTAGACAGGACCATGTCTCCCTCATGGGTTGAATGTTAGACAGGCCATGTCTCCCTCATGGGTTGAATGTTAGACAGGATCATGTCCCCCTCATGGGTTGAATGTTAGACAGGACCATGTCTCCCCATGGGCTGAATGTTAGACAGGATCATGTCCCACATGGGTTGAATGTTAGACAGGACCATGTCTCCCCATGGGCTGAATGTTAGACAGAACCATGGGCTGAATGTTGGACAAGATCATGTCCCTCATGGGTTGAATGTTAGACAGGACCATGGGCTGAATGTTAGACAGGACCATGGGCTGATTGTTGGACAGGATCATGTCACTTTAGTTCAGACACCTGACCTATTTCAGCCGGCGTCCCTTGCAATACTAACTTTGTTAAAAGGCTTGATTAATAATATGAGACAACTTGTTTGATAAAAATTGAAAACAAAAACTAATTTTGCACAAGATACAGGTTATGTTAACTTTTCGAAATATTTCCCTGTTTTGCAGTGAATACAAAAGAATGATTTTGAATGTTCACGAGAGCTTGAAATTATTACTGTAAAATTTGTCGGCATGTAAAGTCGATAGTGATGTCTGCTTGGAATTTCAAGTGACGCTAGTATTGTATCAAATTACTTCAATTAAAGGGAGAGTTGCGACATTGTTGGGGCGTTGATTTGAGTCTTGAATATATGTAAATAGTATTCAGAAATACTAGAAATATACCAAAATCACATAATTCCTTTAAAAATACAATGATTTCTTATAGAACAGCATTAAAGGGACATGTGCACCATTTGATTTGTTGATTTGAGTCTTGAATATATGTAAATTGTCTTCAGAAATACTAGAAATGTACGAAAATTGCATAATTCCTTCAAAAATACAACAATACACTATACATGGTCCTTGGCTTGGTTGATTTGAGTCTTGAATATATGTAAATAGTCTTCAGAAATACTAGAAATGTACGAAAATCTCATAATTCCTTCAAAAATATCTCAAACTAGGAATTTCTTTTCCTATTTCTATATATGGCAGTGTCCCGTTTTGAAACTTAAATACGATGGGTAATAAATAAAATTCCGCATCTGTCCCTTTAATATCAAATTACACGAGGTAAATAAGCTTTTTTTAGAGGGTACCCCCAAGGGCAAAACTGTACCCACGCTATTTTAGGCGAAATAAAAAAAAAAACCATCGTGGTATTTAGTATGTAATAAATACGAATTTACTATCTTGTCGCTAAAATTTGATTGATAACCGGTAAACGTATCGCTTGTCCTATTTTCGGAGAATATTTGTTTAACCTAAATTACGTTATTTGACCGGTAAAAATTTCGTTTGAAAATTGCCGAATTTTTGAGAAAAAAAAATTCATTTTTGTATGTGTGTGTTAAAATTGTTTTGCTATGTCATTTCGAATTTTCCAAATTAACCCCGAAAATAAATTCGAATCGAATATCACAAAATTCAAAAATAACTGTAACCCCCTTTCATGGCGTCACTTGATTACAAAAGGTGTTTAATATACAGGTGTGCTCGAAGTTTCTGCGAAAATACCGGACAAGTTTCGAACTCGTTTTATAAGTCTTAAGGGTTGTCGAAAATAAAAATATAAGTGCCTACCTAGGTCAATCAAAGCCGCTAGGGCAAGGAATAATCCGATAAAACTCTTCATTTCGCTCCTATGTCCAAAAATGATCTGAATTAAACGAAAACCAATGTACTCCGCTCTATCACTAAGTCCGCTACCTGAAGTGACGTCACGTTATTACTGTCAAGGCGCTGGAGGTTATTTTATAGCAGGGCCAATAAAATCGCTAGACATGAATACAATAAGTGGATGGTCGAAAACTTATTTGTACAATATTTGATAATTTATTCATAAAATTGGCCTAAATCTTGCTTGTTTTATCGGGTGCTTTATATCAAAGGGATAGATGCGCCATTTCAGGGGTTGATTTGAGTCTTGAAAAAAAACTTCAGAACTACTAGAATTGCATAATTCCTTCAAAAATATCTCAAACTAAGAATTTCTTTTCTATATATGACAGTGTCTCAAGGAAAGATGAGTCGTCATTTTAACTTTCAAACGTAGATAATTCTAAACACACATGGATTTGAAGACTCAAATTAAGTCTGTATCCACAAAACTGTTGCTTCTTAACAATACCAAGAGGTTTGACCAAGGACCAGCTGGTAGAAAGGATCCTCGTGAACCTAAGTTATTATCCTTGTAAAATCAATACCAAGAGATTTGGTCAAGGATCAGCTGGTAGAAAGGATCCTCGTGAACCTAAGTTATTATCCTTGTAAAATCAATACCAAGAGGTTTGGCCAAGGACCAGCTGGTAGAAAGGATCCTCGTGAACCTAAGTTATTATCCTTGTAAAATCAATACCAAGAGGTTTGTCCAAGGACCAGCTGGTAGAAAGGATCCTCGTGAACCTAAGTTATTATCCTTGTAAAATCAATACCAAGAGGTTTGTCCAAGGACCAGCTGGTAGAAAGGATCCTCGTGATCCTAAGTTATTATCCTTTGTA